CCGCAGGTTACTCGATAGCTGCACATAATGCTGATAATAGGCCTGCAAATGTGTAAGAGTTCTGTTTTAAAAAATATCCCCAGCGACCTTAGCAATTACGTGCATCATAATTCTTCTTATATGTATGAAAAGCAATATGTTTGCAAAAGTATTTAATTTTCTAAATTCTATCAATCTATCTGCATGAATAAAACAAACCAATCTATCATTACTGAAAATATATTTTATGTAAGTTATGTCCTTCATAGAAGAAAAGAAGAATTTAACGAAAAGGTATCGTTCTTTCTGTTTCCTGTTATGTTACCACTTGTTGTTTTCTTTTTTTTTTCATAGAATCACAATAAAACATCTCTCATTCGCTCCTCAAACCAAACTATAATTTTAAATTATATTTCCATTGGTTTTGTGGAATTTTATACAACGGGTAGGTAAAAGTATATATATAAAATCTCCTGTACCCCTCAGACAAAATAATTTTTGCTTATTTAAATTTTGCGATCTTCGTGAAACTTTGATGGCATTAAAATGAGACCTTGTCGTATCAAAACTCATATCGAAATTGGCTTTTAAGAGAATATCGACTTACCTGTAGCTTCGCGTTGTCCAATTGCAGCGGCCGCTCACTTAGGTGCCGCAGGACGGAAAGAACACAGCGCACATGCTGTAGTTTGCGTTCCTCGAAATGGGTGCGAGCCAGAGTGCTTAGCTCCTCGAAGAGTTTGCCAAGCCACGTGCTGTTGTTCTGTTGGCGATGCCAGCGCAATAGATGTACCAGACAGTCAGTGACCAAGTGCAGAAGCTTCAGGGAGACGTTGCCATCGCGAAGGATCACCATGAAACTGTGATGAGGGTCGGTTTCGAGGGCATTGCTAAGGCCCGCCAGTACTTCCGGTAAACGATGCCGTAAACAGCTCAGACATAGCTCCAACAATTCCATGTACAGCTGCATATCTGCCTCATTGCCAGGGGTTAGCCGTAGATACTTGTGCATAAGCGTCCATAGGTTGCTACACTGAGCGGGCAGCATGTCGCCGCGCAGGAGCACCAAGAACAGCTGAATGCTTGCAACCAGTTGGTGTAAAGTTTCGTGGCTGCTACAATTGTTAGCTGCGATGAGTTGGTTCTGCACCTGCAGGTGGACGAGCGAAGCATGGACCAGTGCCAAGTCAGCTGGCTTTAGTTTCAGTGTCTCTCTAATGTCTAGTTCACGGACCCCAGACAGCGTCAGGTCCTCCGGAGAGCCGCAAATCCTGTGCGCCATAAAAAGGCGCCAGTGCTGAGCTTCCATGGCTGCATTGTTATCAAAGTGCTTCACTAACAAATGCTGCTGCAGTGCTAGGCCTTCAGTGGCAGCCGTGGGTGGTATGGTGCTATCCAGTTCGTAACTAACCGGCACAACGATAGCAGAGAGGTCAACGTCCAGCTTGAGGTTTGCATCATTGGCCGTCATGTGCTCGTGAAAGAGCAGTTGGAATATGCAAATGCTCACCTCGGCGCGCAGCTGCGTCTCGTGAGGCATTAGGAAAAGACAGCGCAAGAGACAGACCAGCATTTCTGCGTTGTCTTTGAACTCATGACGAAACCGTTCGCTGCGAAAGAGCACCCTCAGCAGAATACTCACCGCTGGTAGCAGCGTTTCGGTATCTTCAATTCCTCCGCTCCTATCACGCAGCAGCGGATCATGCAGGGCTTTCAAACAGAGTACGTAGGCGCCGTCACAAGTGGTAAACGATTCTACGGCCTCCCAATTGTGTAGTATGACATTTAGCTGAGTCAGTGTAGATTTGCGTATGCTTGGCTTCAGGTCGGGCGTCTCCAGCAGACGCAGCAGCGTATTTAGGCTGCGTGAATATGGCAAATTAGAGCGCTCGCTAAAAAAGTTGTAATAGTTAACGGGCGGCTGTATGGCGCACACGTCGTGGCCAATGAAGTCCAAACACAGCTTATCCATGGCGGGTCTGTATTTGTGCTGATGATCTTGCCAGACCAGGATGTAGGCGATCCGACCTATGGCATCCTTGCGAAACTTTGCATCCGGATGAAACAGGTAACAGACGTTGCCGCGCAGAGCTTGTGGCGGCTCCAGATATTCGCTATCCGGATCAAACAGCTCCCAAAGCATATGCTGCAGCTGTGGTTGGTTGATGGCGCGACACACGAGAAGTGGCACCACGGGTATGACAATCTTGAATATTTCATTAAAGTCCTTACACGAGACCAGCTTGGCGAGTCCCACTACCATTATTAAATAGTCAATGCACCACTGCTGCAGCTGCAGCGACTGTCCAGGAAGCCAGCCCTGCACGAGCAGCTTGCGCAGCAGCTGCGAGCTCATGGGCAGCCCAAGGATATGGCGTTTAGCTAACTCAGTGTTGGTACAGCCCATCAGGTAGTTACTACTGTTCATAAAGGCGTGAAAATGCTCAACAACGGGCTGCTTCAGCAGTCGCAGGGCACAGCTGCGCAGTCGTTCGTCGGGTAGATCGAACAAGGTGTGCAGCAGGGACTCCGCCTCCTGGCGCAGTTCAGGCTTGGCTATATAGAAGCTGGTGCATTTTACGATTGCCTGAATGAGCTGTTTCATCAAGGATTCGCTACCCAGCAGCAGGAGTACGAGACACATTTGACGTTGTTCTTGGAGCAATTCCATGGGCGGTAGTTTTGTTTCCGCCACCAACTGAGCCAGCGCCAAGCTATAAGCTTGTTTAAGGCGAAGCATTTGCTGCTCCTCAGGCGCAGCCTCAGTGCAAATCACGCCACATAGATTACACAACTCGTGCATACGCATGGGCACACAGGACAAGTATGAACTGTCCAGAATTAGGGGCTGTAGCAACATCCGGGCGGTAGGCTTGTCGATGGTTCCATTGTCCGACAAACTCAGCGTTATGACATCCAGGAGCAATCCATTAAATATCAGCGATTCAAGTCGTGGTATCATCAGCTTTTTTACCAAGTTGGGCGTTTCGCTAACATTAGCCACATCAAAGCTGGCGCAATATCTTATTAGCTTGGGCACAATCAGGCCCAGTCGCTGCACGATATTTTCTGGTATGGCTGCTGCGATTTGACCAAAGGTTTTTATTACCTCAACGCTCAGCTCGATCAGGGGCCAATTGTGATTACAGTGCTCCAGCAACGGCGGCCCAAGCAACTCCAAGCAGCCATTCAGTATCAGAGCCAAGACACTGGAAACGCGTAACTGCTGCGGCAACGCTGCTTGTGCCTTAACACTAAAAGCGTAGTCCAGTGATTTGTTGCGAATCCGAAGGCGACGCTGCAGCAGCTTTACAAAAGTAAGAAGCGCCCGGTTTACATGCAGAAGGGTTGCGCCAGCTTGCAGCTGCTGCACGTGCAGCAACTGGAGGAATATATGCGGCGGCTGGCACAGCTGCTCAACTGGGTAGTCGCATAATTTGACTTGTAGACTAGTTAAATTCTCTTGGAGCCGCAGATCGTTGTCAATGGTGAGGGTGTCCACCATGGTCTTCATTGTGGCTAAATCGTCCACGCTAGCACACGACCAAGCCGGCTCATAGTCTTCGGGGCTTATGTTAAAACTTTCAATCGAAAACAATTCCATTTCGCCAACGCTGCACTGTGATTCGCCTGAAAAACACACACGAACGAATGAATAAGATTTAGATACCATATGTAACAACCGTACCTGAACTGTTGTTGCCTGGACTGGGGTTGGCTTCTTTGTACAAGGCAATTACCAAACTGTACAGATTGTCCAGCAGTTCCATGGCGCGTGTTGACTGCAGGCAACGCAGTATTTTCCGTATCTTTTCCAGCTCCGCTTCCAAGCGCTGGTAAGGAATCTTGCGCACAACCGCATCACTGTAATCTGATCGCATCAGCTCCAGCATCAGTGCCAGTACGCGATCTGCGGCTGTCAGTGGCGTGTAGCCAAACCAGCGTATTAGTTGCTTGAGCAGCAGCACCGGCTTGAAATTGATTGTTTCGCCATGTTGCAGGCAACGCATGAAGCGCGTTTCAACCTGCTCCAATGCGCGCATGCGAATTTCAGGCGACTCATTGGTCAGTTTGGCAAGTTGCTGATCTCCCAGCGAGAGCGTCAGTCTGGATGATGTGGATGATGACATTCTGATAATGCATCTGTTATCGCTTCACGTTATTAACTTAAACATGCACTTTTCTATTCACTTACGAGTTTCTTTATTGCTATTTCATTTAAATGAATAAACTATTTGTAATTTACGAATAAATTTTAAAGCGGCGTCAGCTTTCGCGCGTACAGAGAAGCCACCATTTATTTTTTGACGCCGTTGCCTTTTTGAGTATAACAGTGCTGTTGTTTAACATTGCGCATTATGCGTTCATGTTGCGCAAAACGAAGTCCTAGATGTTAACTCGATTAAATGAGCTAGTAATTATTTGAAAATACCTAAACACGTAAATTACTTGAAAGAAAAACCTTTGCGACAGAAACAAATAAAATAGCCTTAAAGGAAAAATTACAAGCACTTTTTGACCTGCTTCAAGCCGGTTTGAATTACTCAGAAATTACCAAAATACCAAGATAACTTAAAATTCAAAGCAGACTTGAATCTTTGACAAATTAAAATAAAATTTTTAATCAAATATTGATTTTTTCTTCTCTTTTTTAAAATTATTTTTGTTTAAGTTTGCGAATAATAAAAAAGAGAATAAATACATTTATAAATTAAATATTATATAATTATTATAGTTTGAACCCGCGATTTCTCACTTGATTATTTGATGCTCAGACCCATAGGCCATATAAGGTTTGGGCTTACGGTTCAATAGCAACATTTTTTCTTGTCTTCGGTGTTTTTCATACCAAAAACCCAAAAGCGTTCAGTTAGTCAAAAAAAACTTTTTTTTTGTTAAATGTAAGATAAATCTTATATGTATAGAATATAGTTTAAAAACAGTACCTATATATTGAATAGTCTTATAAATATGCAATTAAAAGTCATACTTTTTATGATTTCTGCTTTATTTTTGAAGGTTTAGTAGGGGCAGTCGACTTCGGAGGCCCAGTTACAGTTCAATGAGCTAACGTCGAAATAAAGTCCACCCCCGCATTGGAAGTCATAGCGAATGCCATCTACGCACTGATAGTAACGACTGCAGTCGCTGCTGTGCAGGAAGTAGCCATCAGTTGAACAACTCTCGTTGGAACCACCTCCACCGCCACCTCCTGGAGTCGGGCTAGGTGTAGGTGCCGGGCTAGGTGTAGGTGCCGGAGTCACACTGCCACCGCCTCCGCCACCACCGCCGTTTCCTACATCGACTCCTAGGGCTCTGTTCATGGTCTTCAGCAAGGGGTATGCCTCTCCGCAGAGGCCACGGAAGTCATCGGTCTCAATGGACCAGGTCATAGCGCCGCCCAAATTTCGTGACGCTACCAATTGCATCTTGAGTTCAATACTTTCAACATTGTCGTAGCCAATCCACTGATCGCCTTGGAAAGCGTATGGAGCCTTATTCTCGCCATCAAATACAGTTTGCCAGTTGTTTTGGCAAATTTCATGGTAGCCCAGGAAGCCTTTCTCGCGCGTATAGACACCTTCGTTACCGGGTCCAATGCAGGCTGCGCCAGGCTGGTTTTGGGAGCTGTCCACCATCTGGTAACTGTGTCCATAGAAGCCAATGCCCAGGATAAGCTTCTCAGCCGGCGCACCTAGACAAAAAATTATAGATACATGAGTATATTCGCTGAAAACTGTGGGATAAGTCACTTACCTTGCTGCAGCCAGTAGTCGATAGACTTTTCCACCTCTGGCAATGGAGCATTGAAGCCCAAATAGCCATCTAGTGCCATGTGGAAGTCATAGGTCATCACATTAATGAATGTTAAATGCTGAGAAATGGCCGGAATATCGTAGGAAATGGTCGCAGAGGCTTCAGAGGCACCCACAGCAATGCCCAATTCCAGGCCGTGCGGATCAAATCTGTACCATCATAATGATAATACACAATATTTTTTTCTAGCTCATAATTCCACTTACGATTCCTTAATTTCCCGCAGAAGCGTAACGAAGTTGGCTCGATCCGCATCATTGCCGCCGCGTTGTCCGGGATATTCCCAGTCCAAGTCCAGACCATCGAAGCCGTATTGCTGGATGAAGGACAATGTGGAGGAAATAAAGGTTGCCCTTTTTGCTGGATCAGCAGCCATAGCCGAGTATTTGGTGGAGCCTTCATTCCATCCGCCCACCACAGCCAATACTTTCAGCTTGGGATTCACCTGTTTCAAAGCAATTGTCTTGCTTATGAAACCTACAAAATAATGGCTAAGTTCACTCAAACTGATTGACGAATATTCGGAAATGTTCAGATACTTACCCAGACCATCATCCATGTCCAGCCATGTGTCCAGGGACTTGAACTCGCCCGAGTCGCTGATGCCAAAGAACGTGTAGCTAATGTGCGTGCACAGGGAAGGATCTATGTTGGAGGGCTCAAATTTTCCATCTCCCGGACGATAGTTGGCCCAAGTGCCCCAATAACAGTTGATTATCTCTGCAAGACACGCCCAGATCAATAACGACCGATGACAAACGGGTTCTCAGAAGGAGCTACTCGCACTTACTGTCGCTGGAGGCCAGCTGACCTAGACAAATCAATGAAAATACCAAGTACGCGAATGACTTCATGCTTACTCTAGCTCTGAGTTCAGTTTGTCGTTTCTTTTATAGGTCGTGCACTCGCTTTACTTATCAGATCCATAAACGACAATCTACTGTGAACTGGGTAGATAACATTTGCCATCTGCGGGCGGAGTCAACGTTGACACCATGAAAAACAATGTCCTAATATATTGCATCTGTTGGATAATCTAGATTACAAAAGCGCTCCTCCTATATTTCGCACTTCAATATGCGTATACTAAATTAAATTTTGACTCATACTCTCCACTCAAGTGCGCCTTGCCAATGTCCACTTGTACTCGAGCTGTATTTTAATGGAATCCATATACCTATTGAGATTAACCGAAAAGGAAACTAGCCTAAGTACCTTTGTCGTGCTTTCATTATATTTGGCATTCTATAAAGTTATCTGCGTGATACAGCGGCATGTCGACCCCCAAAAGCTAGCACTGACTTATTATTTATTGCTAGCAATATTATTTAAGAAAATAATAAAATTACACTAGCTAACAAAGTTACTAACGGGCAGTAGATGTCTTCTCCTAAAAACAAAAACAATATATGTTTTTTGATCAGCATCAACTACCGAGTCGATCTAGCCATGCCAGCCCGTCTGTCGATCTCTGAGATTTTAAGAGCCTAGTACTTATTATTTTAGATATTGTTCCTTCTGGAGCCCGAAAAGATAAGGCTTATAATCATTTCTAAAAAATTGTTTTTGGAGTATGAACAGAGCTGGAATATTTCTAATTTGGTTATTTTACTCCGTTTCCCGCAAATGGGAACACCTGCATGTTAAGAGGTATAAACTTGCGCGTAAGTATATAGTTTAGCACATTTCAGTCGTAAGCAAAGCTTGAAGCCGATAATAATTAACTGTCACACATAAATAGATATAAATATGATTTAGAATTCTATTCGGATATCCCCAGATTGACACAGCTTTTGATGCTAACAAAAAGAGTATATACTTTACGGAATCGGAATGTATATTACTTTTAACCACAGCACTTTTACTCTTGAACGACATCTTTATACTAAGCGGGCTTCGCAAAGAGAAATCAAAAGAATATAAAATATCATTGTATCTTTCCTTTTCTTACAATCAAACAATGTACGGAAAAAGTATCTTGATAAGGCTGAGTTCAATGTTAGATCGCATGCTTTGATAAACGCAGACAAGTGTCACATTAAATTTAAATGAAATTTTTAAAAATACGCTTTTCAAATGCAAACTTTATGTTTTGGCTCAAGAATCAAGGTAGCTTAGGCTACAGTGGCTGCCGAAATATTAGGCCCGTTGTGATGCCTTGGGTCTGTTTGCAATCCTTCTAAACGAATAGGGCCACTTAAATCAGAGAGTTGTCCAATTTAACGACTACATGACTAGGTTCCGTATCACCTGTAACTTAATGCAGCATAGATGCAGAAGAAGTATGCAACAGAAATAGGATTTTGACATGAATCTCCATGGGCAAAAAGCCAAGCCTTATGGAAATCGGTTAGCTTTGGCAGATTTATGTTAATGGGAAATTTGGACCGATGCCTATAGTATATGTTAGTCGCATGGCATGTGCTCCGATTGCCCAATGACCTGTTAATGCTCGGACCATTAGACTTCCGGTCAGCCCAGGTGACTGTGTTTATTGGCCTCACCTTCAAAGTGAGTTTGCAAGTTGCCACACTTTCTTTACCCAAACTGTTTGCTGCAGTTTGTGACATATCTCAGCTTTGTTGCTGTCACCTTCTATGAATTCGAAATCAACATTGGTAAAACTTTAGATATATTTGCAGCCTGAGTCAGCGTACAAGCTCTTTAGCTGTAAGTTAAGGGAAGCCTAAAAGATACTCCCCCCACCAAGCAGCTGTCTAGTTAAGATCTTTTACAAAATGCACAAGTTTATACAGACGGGAAATTGACAGACATGGCACCAGATCTACCTGATCAAGAATATGTATTCTTTATGGGGTCGGAGAAGCCCCGCTTCTCCCTGCATTATAACCATTCCTTAGAAATTTGTATTTGCAAATACAACGTCTGTGTAGTTTATATAGTATGCGTCAAATAACAAACATCAACAAGCAAAAAACTGCAAAAATAATATAATTAGTTGCGCTATCAACAATATTAATCAGACTTAAGTACGCAAGGGCTCTCGACAGCAGGTTACCAGGTATCGTCCAGAAGAGCACTCTCGACACGAGACCTCTTACCTGTATAGGTAATAGGTCTATTTTTGTCGATTTCTAGGCTGGTAACACAAATGCCAGCTATCTGCCAGAAGAGTACACTCGACTAGGACGATCATGTTTGAGTAACTTCATTTGAGAAGCTCATTTAATTATTTATTTAATTAATTATTTAGGAAAATCATAGACAAAGTGCTAATGAGAAGCAGAAGCCTGCTTAGTCGTTTTCTAGTTTATTATTATTTCTATCAGTTATTTCCTCAGTTGAATCTAATAAAATAGTTTTATGCGTTAAGTCTTTACTTTTACTATTTATTTATCAATTGGCATGATTGCACACACACATTAATACAGGATATACAATAATTATTTTTGCAATTAAAATTACCAACGCAACTTTCTGTTGATGGTCTTCAGGAGGGGATATGACTCGCCGCAGTGGCCACGGAAGTCGTCCGTCTCTATAGACCACACCATAGCTCCGGCTAAGTTCTTGGACAGAGCGAAGTCCATTTTCCACTGGACACTGAGAACATTGTCAAAGCTGACCCATTGATCTCCGGAAAAGGCATAGGGAGCGGCATTATTATAGTCGAAGACCGTCTGCCAGTTGTTCAGGCAAATCTCATTATAGCCCAAATAGCCACCTTCGCCGGTGAAGGGACCTGCACCGCCCACGCCTCGGCATGGAACTCCTGGCCAATTTTGAGAGGGGTCCGATAGCTGGAATGTGCGTCCATACAAGCCAATGCCAAGCACAAGTTTATTGGCAGGTGCACCTACGGATTGGTGTGAAATAAACCGGAACAACAAACTGTCGCATTAACCAATTACCTTGGTTGAGCCAATAATTGATGGAGTTCTCGATGGCCCACTGTGGGGCGTTGAAGCCAGTCTGGCCGTCCGAGGCCATGGCGAAATCATAGGTCATAACGTTGATGAAGTTCACCTGCTGAGCAATGTTTGCGATTTCGTAGGAGCTGCTGGCTATGGACTCGCCCGCGCCCACAGCAATGCCCAGCTCATAGCCGTAGGGTGCGAAGCTAGACATTAACAAAATAAAAGTCGATGCGAACCAATTTGATCACTTGAGGGATACATACGCTTCCTTGATTTCCCTCAGCAAGGTGACAAAGTTGGAGCGGTCTTCCCATTTGCCACCCCGTTGATTGGGGTACTCCCAGTCCAGGTCCAGGCCATCGAAGCCATGGTTGCGCAGCAGGTTGAGAGCAGAGTTAATAAAGTTCTGACGCTTATTCCAGTCGCTGGCCATGGAGGAGTACTTGGCAGAGCCTTCGTTCCAGCCACCAACCACAGCCAGTACCTTGAGGTTGTGATTCTGGCTCTTCAGGCCAATGGCCTGGTTGATGAAGCCCAAATCATAGTCCAGCCACGTGTCCAGCGACTGAATCTCGCCATTGTCGTTGATGCCAAAGAACGAATAGCTCAGATGCGTGCACAAGTTGGCATCGATGTTGGATACATCGAATTTGCCATTGCCACTCCGGTAATTCGCCCACGTGCCCCAATAGCAGTTGACAATGCCTTTAAGACAACAAATGAGGTAAAGTAATCAGCGTATTTGCCATTTTCCGTAATCTGCACTTACGCTCGCCCGTAATCAGAGCACTAAGACTGAGAATGACGAGAAGAGCTATTAGCTTGCCCATTTTGGCTAGTTTAGACTGTTTCCTTTTTTGCAGTTGCTGCTACTTTTATACAAAATTCCTTATCGCTGTTTAAATGACGCGCTTGACTTATTTATGTGGGCACTTATCACAATATCAGCTAAGATTGCAGCATAAGTATATTATATTTGAGATTTCTTTATGCGAACCCTCCTCTTCAACCAAAACAATAAACACCTCATTATCTTAATATATCAATTATTTAAGAAGTAATTCGTACAAACCTTTTCTTTCGATCGGTTTTACAATGTCAGCTTATACGCTGAAAGGATAATCGACCACGTCGATCTTAGTAACTAAAAAGCTAGAGATTTGATATTTTATTTTATTTGTTATTATTTATATATAATATGCTATAGTATACCCAAAATAAGTTTATTATTTACTGTCGATATCTCTCAATATTTGAGTACCAATAAAAATCAATTTTGAGAGTTAGTCAACATTAAATTACCAAAAGTTTGGCGCAGGCTTAAGAAAGGCACAGGGTATTTCCTAGTCGGTCACCCCCGACTAAAGCAACCATATTTATTATCTTGTGGAGCTGATGCATTGTAACTGCTAGTCGGCAGCCTATATCAAATAACTCTTGTTAACTTTTGACTATTGTGCAGATTGAAAGAATCATATATATTATGCTTTAAATGATCCCAGAATCCTTTCCCAACTATACCCGTTATATCAATATAAGGGTAGAGGGTATAAAAACGAAGGTAATTAAGAGATAATTATTTGGCATACGCAAGTGATATTCAGCTCTTTGAGACACACAACCTAATGAAAATTACCTAATTAGCAGGTTTTAGTTGACTTTGGGTCTGTTCTTCGTTTCTTCAAGGAGTGAATTTTCCGCAAATGCCATTTTAAAGTTTTTAAAGCTGAGTTTGTCGAGCGAAGCCTAAAGCTTTACGATTTACAAGTAAGTTCTTGTCCATTAAAAGTAGGATGAAAGCCAAGTTTAATGTTAAATGGTTATGTCTTCTCATTCAGGCAAGTTGTAAGAGTAATTCGGCAGAATCAGACAAATTGCTTTTTAATATATTAAGTTCATTGGCAAATAAAAGATAATCGGATAAACGGATGCAAGAAATAGAAGTGGACCAAGACAACTTCCCTGAGATACCCCAGAAGATGCGAAATGCGATCAGACAGATAGGAACCTAATTAGCTTCAAAGAAGATGAATGAAAACCCAGCCTAGACCACTTCTTAACGAGAACGCCTGTTACCTGACCTTATCGAAGGCTTTAGAAAATGTAGTTCATGTAGATCGGCCGGGAGCGGCGAGAAGCCATGCTCTCTAGGCTCCATAACCGGGTTGGTTATAAAGGAGATATATTTGACGAAAATACGCTTAAATAAATTAAGATATTACTTAATTTTGGAATGCCACCATTACTACAAAAATTTCCTATCATTCTTGAGATTGTACCAGTTTTCCACTTTCTTAAAAATAGTCCTTCAGAAAGTAATTTCGCGAGGATTATTATATATGATGATATATCATCCGATATGATATAACAATCCGGTTAAGAAAAAGGATTCTAGTGGATTCATAAAAATCATCATATGAAAATATAATATTGCCTAATATCTTAGTTCAAACTGATGTAATGGATCCATTCCTTATTGGTGGAATATGCGATTTAAAAAAAATACTTACATATTCTTAAACTTTAAGTTTATTAACATTTCAGGTTAACTGTGCAAAAGTTACAATAGAAAACATTATTAACCGCTATTTGATTCGAGATTCATCAACAATAAAAAAAATATATATAATTGACAGAAAATAAATATAAAAGAAAATATATTCAGCTGCCAAGCGTTGAAAAAAGCGGAAGTTGCATATTCAAAATTTCAGTGCGTGCGTCTCAAGGCATCTAGGATGCACAGGTTGACTATTAAATACATTCGGGCTACTCCGATTGATGATTCAGTTGGAGACGTAAATCTCGAACTCCTTGTAGGCCAGCTCCTCGCCGGCATAGGGTATGTAGCAGCAGCCGTGAGATGGCTGCACCTTGCCCACTGTGACTGTGCCGTCGTGGGTGGCGCGTCCAATGAAGAGGGGCTCGCCCTCAGATGTCTCACCGGCGGGCACAGCGTTGGGTGGAATGTTGCCAGCCTCGACGGGCAGCCATTGGCCGCCGCCGGCGCAAAGGACTTCGTACTCGTTGTGGCCGTGCTCACCGCCGCCCCAGGCAACGTAGGTGACGCCATGTGAAGGATGCAGCTTGCCGGGAATGAGATCGCCCTCGTGACGAGCGCGCGCAATGTACAGCTGCTCGCTGCTATCGAAGCCGCCCTGCATGGCGTTTGCCGGAACCTCGCCGTTGGCGGCGGCTACCCAGCATCCGGCTCCGCTGCCAGTGGGCGGAGCGAAGCCCATAGCGGGCGCCGAGGGTGCGGCATCTGCAGAATTCACAGTTGATTAGAAATCCTTTCAAAATAATTATGCGCCTACCATCTATCAGCCAGGTGCCGCTGGCACCCCAGCCCGTGCAGATGCCAACATAGTTGACTGGAAACAGAGCTCCCGCATCGTAGGACAGGAAGGCGGCAGCGTCGCCCTCATGACCCACGGTGATGACATTGTCGTACCAACGCACCCAGAAGCCACGGAACTCGCCGGCGTTCAGAATGCCTGGTGTTGGCACCTCGACCACATCTGGTTTTTGGCCATCTTTGCGAATAACAGACTTGCTGTTCTCCCATCCGCCCAAGAAAATCTCGTAAATGGGAGCGCTTCCCTGCGGGCTAGGGGTGAGCGCGATATGGGCATCCTTGGCAGAACGCACCTTAAAGGTGAAGACTCCGCCGCTGGCCGGGAAGAATTGGTATTCCAATTTATCGGGTGTGTTGACTTCTACAAAACAAAAGTAATATTTTAATATGGAAGCAAGCAGGATGGATTGTAAAAAGGTAAACAATTTAATTAGTCGAACCCAAAAAGATTTAAATCTAATATTTAATAATTAAAATAGCTTTACTAATATCGTCCATATTACTCAATTTTAGATAAATGTCTGGCTATAGTAGCTACCTATAGGGTATCTCCTAGTCAACCAGTCATGAGTGACGCATTCTTCACAAACAAATCGAATATTTAATAATCAAAATAGTTATGATAATAGACTTCACATCATTCAATTTTTGATAAATGTCTGGCTACAGGGTATCTGCTAGTCAACCCATCTTGAGTGACGCATTCTTCACAAACAAATCCAATATTTAATATTGATAATAACAACCTCCAAATCATAAAATTTTTGTTGAATATCTGGCTAAAGAGGCTACCTACAGGGTATCTCCCAGTCCACCAGTCTCGAGTGACGCATTCTGGAATTTGTTTTTTGACTTTGTTTGTGTTTAGAAAAACAACGCATTTGATTCGCATGATGTCATTTTGAATGGTGCCGGCGCCGAAGCATTTTCTAGACCCAAGCGATTACTCATTCCGCTGAGAGCCCGGCTCTACATTGAGCCCAGCTCTAAAAGATCTGGTATCCGCTCATAGATACATTTAGGTGTATCTACTTATTTACTTATACAAACATTCACACAAAAAGTGGGCATTTAGCGGGTTCTCTGCTAGAAATGTATCTATATCTATGTGCACGGATTTACATACACACGCTTAGTCTAAAAGCTGTTGGCATTCAAAGTATGCTCATCAATCTGTGTGTCGTATGTGGTTGTATCTGTTTGTGGAATGAAAAATGTTTGCTCAAATTTCACATCACAGCGAATATTGTCGAGAATGACATCATTTGGCTGCACCTCGAGGTCAAGCTTCGGCCAATTTCTGCTTCGTATTGATTATTGTCAAAGTTCAAAGTGGAGATAAGAAAGATGTCTTATATAAAGTGAGTCAACGCTTTGCGTGCAAAACTTCCACAGTATTTACCAATGCTCTGTTGAGATTCGCAATTTTGAGTTGGTTTAAACTAACTGAGATCTGTTTAGAATGCCTAACGGTTTTTTTCACCTTTCTTAAGTAAGCAACATAACTTTCTTTATTGTTATTGAGGGCAACGCCCCTATAAAAAGCATAGCCATAGTATAGAAAACATTGACAAATATCGTGAACTGTTAACATAATTTTCTGTTATTCTTTTTAGTCTTTTTTTATTGGACACCGGCCAAAAAGTAACCAAATTACACACAGAGAGAGCGAGAGCGAGAGAGGGAGAGAGCTGCCGCAGCCGGCTTTATTGGGTCGTGGAATAATATTAATGCAGATGCACTGGTGTCAGTCCACAATAATTTGAGGTCAAGCTGTTATTCTTATTCCACTATCTATTAAATTCACTCGGACCACTCACGACTCACCAATTGGCATGGTTGCTTTTGTTGTTTTTACTTGGACTCGACGTTGTTCGCTGTCTGAGATTCTGATTCAAACTGGCGCAGCGAGAAATTTCAGTTGCGAGGTAAACACCTGCTTAGCCAGAGAGACACACAGAGGCATGGCAAAAAGCTTCGAGTTGTCACGCGAGCTTTCCGTTGCGAAGTATAGTAACAATACGAGCATGCATTGGATCGGGCATCGAGGGGATCTTAGTCTATTCGATGCTGGTCAGACTGTACCCAATTACATATGTATGTAAGACCTCTGAGAACTCACATGCATATGTATATCCCATTGTGCTAACAGTTAAAGCTCTACTTTTGAATCGTTATGCAAAAGCGGTAAACAGAACACTTTTTCCACAGGCTTGGCAACACGTAAAACTATTTTCTTGAAAAGAGTGTGCCCGTACCAAGAGTAAGAAATGTTTTCAACAATGTTGATATTTTACGAGTATTTAGATAAGGCGAACTCATACGAATTCGAATTTATATAAAGTTAAAATAATAAAAAATGGAAAAACTGACTGGAATTTTTCTCCAAAATATATTATTGCCTTAGTTTTATATTGTAGAAAATTCAACGGGTTCCAAAATTTACGCCGAATCATTTTTAAGGCTGGCCTGTAAACAGGACAAACATTGCGTGTACCAACATTGTAATGCCTTGTGGCAGGGTATACACAGCTTTGTAAGTCACAAGCTCAAATGATATAAATTTTACATATATACATTTCTCACATTCATAAACACACACGCACACTCTACTATAAAGCTGAAGCGAAGTTTGAAAAGCTTCTGTTGACGGGTAGCTTTTGAATTCGCAACACTCTTAGATTTTGAATATCAATTCATATGCCGTCATATGCCGGCTTTATTATATTTGTCATGCCAACTATGATGAGATAAACTCTAAAGATCACGTCATGGCTATGGCGAAAGACGTAAAAGAGTTCTGGAATTGTTTTTAAAAACTAGTTGAAGAAATACCTCATTCATCAAATAAAAGGGTGCATTTCTGTTTTGTTAGAGTATTACGGCTTAATCTGTATACATATATACATATGATCTATATTCAATTCCACATATTCCATTCTTCTAACTTTTCAATCGATCGTAAGTATGGAAGGCATATGAAATACAGACTAGATCCGGTCGGATCCAAGAAGTGGGAGGAAATCGGAATGTTTAACTTGCATTAAACAAATAAACGGATGCATTTATTTACCCAGCTTGTAATTAAAGTGACGCGGACGACGCTCTAAATGGATTACATCTAAAGATCATCAGTTGATATTTTCAGTTTTGAAATAAATATGTCTATATATTTGTACTATTTAACCCAAAATGATTGGCAATAAAAATATCCCTTACTATTCTTATTATTACTATCAGAATGCTGCATTCATGGCCAAATATCACGAAATAGATTGGCCTAAATTAGAAAATGGATGCTATAGAGTATTGTTATTAATTTACCAAAGACAATATAAATACTAAAATGTAGTATTAAGAATTTTTGGCCAGTCATATGTTGCTTTATATGGATGATGTACATGTGTGCATATATATTCGTGCGTGATGCATGTTTTATTTTACTTGTCATAGCCCAGAGATCTCAAACATCAAGTGATCTCATGGCACATTTATAGCCAAAAATACAGGGTGTATCCGCTAAAAAGACTCCTCTATTTATTATTAATATAAACAAATTTCCTTTATGAGAGTGCTTACAATTTGAGTTGGTCCTTTAATATAAAATTATATTTATATTAAATACCCAAAAATTATTTTAGTGAATTTAAAATTACATTTCGAAGCGAATTTTGATTGTCATCATATCAATGTTAATTGATTATATGGCAGACTAAAAGTATTTTTAAATATTAACGTATTTTACTTTTAATGCGTGTGTATACTTAACTGACAACAAATATATTCGTCAAGTTCGATCGAACAAACGCCCATTCTACATTCAACATAAAACTCTGAGAACCTCAACCATCTTTTATGGAACTCGAATGTATGACCAACATACGGGTACGATATACATTTATCGAAAATCGAATGAAATACTTTATTGTGAAACACACATTGAAAATAGGCTATGTTAATCGGAATCCACCGCAGTCTAAAATAAGTATTATATAGAATTAACTATGCATGGAATTCATGTTTTCATAGAATACCCAACGGTGACTGATATTTCTGTCCCGGTTGGCTTTTAATGGAAAATTGCTCTGCTTGTAGCATACCTTTAGGATGACATGTTAAATTTTAATTTTGAATAAAAACCTGTAATACTTATGCCGAAAATAGAAGAACACAGAATATATATTTTTAGATGGATTCTCGCTAAAGTTCTTAAAGATAATATTCTATATTGATAAGTTTAGGCTCATATGTTAGGAGCGTGGTAATAACTGGTTAATCTTTGAGCTTTTGAAAAAGAAACAAATCCTTGATATCATGTAATAAATAATGTGCATGAAAAGCTTTTAACAAAATTTTACTATAGATGTATCGCATATTTCCAAAATAATTATATAATAGAAACCTTCAAATTAAAGATATGTCTGAAATAGATGTACATTTCGCGAGTGCTTACTGTATTTGGAAGGTAGAGAAAAAGAAAGATAGATACAAAATATCTTTATTTTACCGCTATAACATGTTCTTTCATGCTTCACGTCTTGCATGTTTATTCTTCTTTTCGGTCCAGACAAAGAATGCACCGAGTCTCAGTCCGCTCTCTTTTGGAATCGTGCAAAGTAATTTAATCGCTAGTTGTTAAAAAAAAAAAAAAAACATACAAAATAATGAAAATCCAAGTTTAAATTCTCTATTAATTGCTTGTGCGGAGCTTGATTGCAATTCTTAAATTGTTATTCGATATGTTCAACAACAAATATGTTCGACGGTTTCAGTTACTAGGGAAACTTTGTAAATGTCTTGAGTGAGTGGAGCTATTGATCCCAGCGAAGAAAAAGTATTTGTATACTCACTTTCAGTAATGAGTACTGAGGGTATCTGCCAGTCAAAATATTTGAGTGCAAAATATGATGAAAATGTAATGCGATTGCACTACGAGGGTATAATCCCTAGTCTTGAATGAGCTTATCTTAATTGTGGACCATATTTTAAATAGGCTTCGCGTTAATATACAATTGGCCCAATTAAATCTATTGCAACTACATATATTCACCTAAGAGACAGCTCAATAAACTTGTCTAGCCCATAAAGCAGGAGGATCCATCTGGAAACAAGTTAATAAAATTTGATTGCACTTTCCATTGTTTTTTATGACGGGGCTTACTGCACTGTATATTTATTTATTGCTGCTGGTCAATTTGCATCGCATTCATTGATTGCTTTTATATGCAAAGTATCCTGGTATTATTATGAGGGGGGCTATATATATGTATTCAATTTTTCCATTGCCATCGGCACTCGATTCGTATTCCATAAAGAACAAGCTCCGGGAAGAGCAATCTCTGACCAATTACATTTGCTTAGTGTGCGCATAGTACGAGCGGCTTTTGTTCTTACTAAATAAATTTACACTTTTCAATTAAGATTTCCGCCGTGGATTTGCGCATTTCACAAAATCCAAAATCCGACTATCTGCCCCAAGTGGATGACCGCGCTCAATTTACGTTAATTCTGTTCTTTGACGCAATAACAACCCCAACCCCATCCCCAACCCCCACCCCCACCCCCACCACCAACCCCAACCCCAACCCCAACCCCATCCCCTGTCTGGTTCAGCTTATGAATATGAGATCATGTATGTAACATACATATATGCGCTTCCTCAATTCATATAAAAGGCTCACTCTTCCAGAGTTACTTGGGGGAATGGTCTAACTCAACACATTTTCTCTACGGAATTTCTTTTCAAGAAGTTGCATCAATTTAAAGTAATTCAGAGCAAAATTTAAGACCATAACAACACCAAAGGCAAGACATGAATGTATGCATTAAACTCCATTAAGAATTTTTTTATCAACAGCTTATACTTTGTTGCAAATAGTTTTTTTTATTAAGTAGAGTATTGAGTATTCTCTAAATAATGATGAGTTAGAGTGCTCTTGTCGTCGGTGTCAGGTGCTACTCGCTCGCCTGCTCGAGCTCATCACTTCATTACCTATTTAACGGGTAAAGGGATATACTTGCATTATTGAATAAAAACAAGAGTTCTCTAGTCGGCAGAACCCAACTAGGAGATACCCTAAAACTTCTTCTAGAATTAGTAAAATTAAAAACTAGAATCCCTATCTTTCAGTGTCCACAAACTGAACTATACTAAATATGCATAATCTGATTATAATAGAACTATACTGGCTCTTAAATCCTAAGAGATATGCTCAAAAGGGCTAATTTCATTATATTATTACTATTATATCCTTTTTACCCAAGAAAGAAAACACGACATTCGCCCAACTTATTTCCAAATTTCGGCTCTGCTTTAGATAAGCACAAAAGCTATACATATACACATATACATGCAAGCATACATGCATACATGCGTACATGCATACACATAACTACATGCACACATATAAAATCTTGCTGGACGAGCCCCCTAGCTAATTGCCAAACCCACACAAGGGCAAACGCCTCTACACCATGAAAGCCAAAATGCACAAGTATGTGTGTACATATAAATATTTATACGAAGCATGTACTCATACACATATATGCTTATCGTATTTTTGATTTAAACTAAACGGATATATATACATACATAGTTCGAGATTAGGGAACTGTTAATTCGATGTCATCATATGATAAATTTAACTTTAACACTTGATAGACTCGTTTGGAGTTGTATTTGATAGTATTTGAACGATAATACACATTTATTTATTGCTTTAAAACCAAAGGTCACAAACGAAGGTCATTGTCTTTTCACATTGGTATTTATGGGTTGAAACGTGTTTTTGTATAAAAAGCTCGCAATTTCACTCATTGTTGAAAAACGCATTGTTGAGTTTCTGAACCGGTTCGGTTCGGGGGCCATGTGCACAGACCTACCGGCAGCAACAGTTGGCAAAGGGCACCTTGAAATCGAGCCA